ATGGGGGGAGGCGCTGAATCCTGGTCCCACAGAGACGGTGCACTTGGGGACAAGCAACCCATCCGGGTTGCGATCAAAAGAACTTATCGCGCTTGGCCTTGGACCAGGTCTCTGGTTCTTCACGGAAACACAACTTTCTACGGGTACACAACGGTCAGTACAACGAGCTCTACAACACGGTGCTCGTCAAGCCCATCGGCACGTTCGGATTATAAAAGGAGCACCTGCTCCACTTCGACGAAACTCTGAGTGGGCAGGAGCATGGACGGGCGTGCTCTCCATGTCAGACTTTCCAGCTCGCGAAATTCGCCTCACGTGGCCCGACATGGAATACAGTACGGGACGCATCTTGGTCACGGAACACCACATGGGCACCCTGCCCATTACGGCAGCGACGATATACGGCTACGCACAAGGCCCGACCTATCCCTCGGCACTCACCTTGACAGACGGCATCCTTCGAACACCAAGGAGGTAGTCTTGGGCAGAGGAGGACCTAGGATCATTGTTGGGGACTTCAATGCCTCGCCAGATGAATTGGAGCAATGCCAACTCTGGAGGGCGCGAGGCTGGATCGAATGTCAGGATTGGGCGCTCCAATGTTGGCAGATCCCTATCCGAACTACTTGCAAAAATGCCACAAGACGAGATTTCATTTGGATGTCTCCGGAAGCTGCTGCGCTTTGCAGCGACGTTCAGGTGACTCCCCACTTCATGGAACATGACACGGTTCAGATCAGGCTGAAGATCAGTAGTACGGTCCCCATGCAGTTGCAATGGATTCACCCAGCACAAATCCCATGGAGCCAGGTGAACCAGGACATTCTCACTACCTCACAACCACACATGCCTGACCTTTCCGGCACAGACGTTTCTTCCTGGTACAGTTCGCTCGGCAAGGCCTTTGAAGCAGCAGTACATTCTTCCAGCTCGGAACCCCTTCCTGGTCGGTGCCGTGGCCGTTGCCAAGCTACCTCTCCCAAGCGAAGACCTGCGGCCAAACCTTTGACCAAACCAAGCAGAAACGGCGAAGTCATCTTGTACAACGACCTTACTGGCTGGGCGGTTGCCAAGTGGTTCAAACAACTTCGGCGGCTACAATCCCTGCGATTTGCACTACTCTCCCCATCAGCCGGGACGAACGCAAATGAACACCGATGGCAACTGTGGCACCGTATTCGCACTGCCCGAGGTTTTTCTGGAAACTTCGTCACCTGGTGGCCTACTCGACCTGTGCAACATCAAGGCAGCCCTGCTACCCTTCACAACTTTATTCCGAACCAGCACAACGTCACCATGCTCTATGATGACTTCCACGCCAACTTTCGAAAGTTCGAGGCATGGCACGCTCGTCAAAGAAACAAGGTCATCACTGCAAGATTCGAGGCGCAGCGAGACCTCCTTTTCAAGAGCATGAGGAAGCCGCAGGCGCCGGAAGTTGATTTGCTCATTCAGGAGAACGACTTCATTGTGCTTGCTCAGGAGACCGAGACCGGCCTTACACACCTAGATCAACCGGCCTCTACCGATACCTCGACGGCATGTTGGGACGCCGACGGGGAGACCTTCAGGGTGAAGCAGATTGACGGCGACATTATACAGGTGGCAGATGGGTTTTGCCTTACTCCTGGCCAATCCGTTTCATCAACCAGCACGATCGCAGTGGAGGAGAAACTTCATGAGGCCTTTCTTACAGAATGGACCCATCGCTGGAACTCGCACTCAGAACTACCAGAGGAGGTGTGGGACCGTGCACTGGCCTTTGGCATGCATTTTCTTCCTTCTGGAACACTGGAATACAAGCCCATTGCATCAGATGAATGGGAACACTCCCTGTCGAGGCTGCGGCCAAACGCCGCCAAAGGGCCAGACAGTTTTAGCAAAGAAGATTTGCGACGCATGCCCCAGCACTTGAAGGACCAGATCCTTTCTCTCTACACAGAGATTGAACAAGGCAGATGTGAATGGCCAGCCCAACTACTCCAGGGGACAGTGAGAGCGCTCGCCCAGCAGCAGAACTCCACGCAAGTTCTTCACTTTCGCCCTATCGTGATCTACGGCATGGTATACCGACTCTGGTCCAGCACAAGAGCCCGCCAAGCACTGCGCTTCCTGGAGCAGTTTTGCGGAGGCGAGATGTACTGTTTCTTGCCGGGAAAAGAAGCCATGCAGTACTGGTACGTCCAACAAGCCAATATCGAGCTCTGCCTTCAATCAGGGCAACCTTTGGTTGGATGGAGCAGCGACCTGCAAAAGTGCTTCAACTCCATCGCAAGAGTCCCAAGCATGCTCCTGGCGAGGCATTTAGGCATTCCCTCACCGGTGATACATGCCTGGATTACGTTTTTGAACCACAACACCAGAAGGTTTCAAATTCGACAAGGACTCGGACCTCCCATCAAATCCTCAACGGGCATGCCGGAAGGATGTGGCATGAGCACGGTTGCAATGACCATCATCGACCTGTGCTTCCATGTCTACTTCCGTGCGTTCATGCCTGGCATCAGCACTTACAGCTACGTGGATAACTTTGCGACGCAGACTACCACGGCAGCTTCGCTTACGAGGGCGTGGCTTACTTTCCTGGCATTTTGTGACATGTGGCACCTGCAGCATGACCCACAGAAGACACTTGCTTGGGCCTTGGACAAGGAAGACGGAAAAATGCTGCAGCGCTCTGACTTTCAGGTAGTTACCGAGATGCGGGACCTTGGTGGCTACTTTACCTTCAAACTGAGAGGCAGACACAATATGGCGGCCGACAAGTCTCGTTTGCTGAATCAGGAATGGGATACACTTCGCCAAGCAGTAGCCCCATTCCCATACAAACTCCAGGCAATCTACGTCAAATTTTGGCCTTCAATCCTTTACGGTACTACAATCTGCGTCATCACGGATGCGGAAATCAAGAGCCTACGTTCCGCAGCGGTGCATGCTTTGAGGACCAAAAAGGCCGGTTCAAACCCTTTGCTCCGATTAAGCTTGAGCACCTGCATCCTCGCGGATCCGGCCTTCTATCGCATCTGGACAATGCTACAGGACCTCCGCAGACTTTGCAGCAAGTCACCCCACTTGCTGACTAACTGGAAGCATTTCATGACGTTTTTCGAGCTGGACGGACGTTTGTTTGCCGGGCCTTTCTCGCAACTCGTACAGTCGCTTTCACAGATGCATTGGTGCATTGAGGCTCCTCCCACGGCTCGAGATCATGATGGCATCATTTTCAACATCCTGGAGACCGGGAAAGCAGACCTTTTCCGACGTCTATGCGACGGATGGCTACAGCACGTGGCCACGCAGGTGTCGCACCGACACACCATGAAGGACCTCAGAGGTATGGACGGTTACTTGACCAGATTGGACTCTGCAAAGTTTTCTTCTACTACTGCTTCACGGGTCGCCGCGCTTCAGGATGGAACTTTCCGCCTGTCACAGCAACAGGCTAAGTACGATGCTACACAGACCGGACAATGCAGGGTATGTCAGACAGCAGATACAGTACAGCACATGTGCTTGGAGTGCCCCCGGCTACAGACCTACCAGGAAGAACGAGATTTGCTAGGCAAGATGTGGCAGGACCTTCCAGACTGTTTGACGCACCACCTGCTGGTCCCCAGACTTCTGCACATGGGTGAATACCTCGGAATGCTCAGTGCGCAGCCGGACAAGACTTCAGCCTTTGAAGATGTCGTACCACCCCACGGCAAGCTCAACGTTTTTGCAGACGGGGCTGCCAAGACAAGTAACCATCCTTGGTTGACGCTTGCAGGTTGGGCAATTTTCTGTGTCGAAACCAAATCGGTTCTGGCAGCAGCGCCCTTGTCAGGCATCAGCCAGGACATCGCACGGGCAGAGTTAACAGCCATACTCAGCGCGGTCAGATGGTCAATTCATATCAGCCGCAATATTTGTATTTGGACAGACAGTCAATCGTGCATTGATGGTTGGAAGAAGATCGAAGATGGCTTCAGGAAGTTCACCATGCTCCCTCATGGAGATCTCTGGCAAGCCCTCGCTTTCGCACGAGAACAAGGCCACACTGAAATTGACATTGTCAAAGTCAGCAGCCATGTTGCAGACAGCGAACGGGTAGATGCACTTCAAGATTGGGAGTTCAAATACAACGAGGCCGTTGACACGGCCGCAAAAGCCACAGTTTTCAACCGACCGCCCAAGCTCCTCGAGCTCCACAAGCAGCTGCGCAGTCAGGTAGAGCATTTGACCCCGGCCATCCGAGCCATTCGAACCCTGACACTTGCAGAAGCCAATTTGCATGAGAGGCAAAGCCTGTCCGACCCGAATGAGGATCCACCGGACTTTTGGGCTGCGCCTGTCGTTTTTCAGCCAAGACCATTTACGGTCAGAATTCGAACAGATCCGACCCAAATATGGGAATTTTGCGAGGCTCAGCAGACACCATTCCCGTCCACCTTTGTGAAAGCTTTCGTGGACTGGCTCCTGCTTTTTGATGAAGGCAGTGAGGGCGAATACCCTTTTAGCTGGTTTGAGTTGGCTGTCGCCTTTATAGGCATGGGGGGCCACTTTCCGGTTCGCCATCATTCGGGATGGGTGGAGCCTAGTACAGCAGGTTGCCACGGTGCCCCGTTGATCGGTGACATGATTTATTGCACAAGGGCCGTTACCAAGGCCTTTTTGAAGAAGTGTCTGTGCACGGATCTCTTGCATTCTAGCATCGATTGTTCCGGTTTTGGTGTTCAGTGTTTCGCCGCTGGTGCTAGGTTTGGGGCCATTTCAGATCCGTTGCAGAAGGCACGCGAGGCTATCGCCCTTCGGGCCGGGAGCAGGGCTTTCCGCTCCGCGGCCGATTTCGCTCGTCCCTGGTGAGACACTTGGACATCCGGCTTCGCTGCTTTGGCTGCGGACCGGTTCGCGCGAGCGGGTGGGGATAAACAAACAGTTTCGACTTTTTTTGGCCAATCCACTCGAGAAGTGAGAATAGGACACCCCGTTGACGTTTGGGCCTTGGCTCCTTCCGTCAGGTGAAGTGCGTCTCGGACAACGTCTCCGAGCGCCACCGCCGCGCCTTTGATCGCCGCGTGACGGTGCGCCAAGTGCTCACGACGCCCGGCTGGGAGAAATCTGGGAACCCGAAGCGGCCCCAAACACAGCGGATTGATCCCACCCCCAACACCTAAATGCGCCTAATGCGGCCTAGTACGGCCTAACAGGGTCGATCGGGTCTTTGTGGTTTTCGACAATTCTTGGTTGCCCCCAGTCATCCCCTCAAACCCACTAAAAGCTAAGCTTTTAGCAGATAGGAGGACAGCCCAGAATTGGGGGGGGGCCTTGACAATCAGGGGACAGCAATTACAACACCCGGTCAGCAAGCGGGCCAAATGTCCCCAACAGGTGGAAAGCTTGTACTGGTTTAGCAAAGTTCAGATGTAGCCGCTGCCCGCGAAGGTGTAAGTAAGGTTGGTTCCGCAGAAGCCTCCCATGGTGGAAATGCTTTTGAGCTTGCTGGGTGTGACTGAAATGACCAGCTGTTGTTTTCTTTTAGAGAATGACTATCCCCTCTCCTTTGCTTAGATAGGCGTCTCAGACTCACGTCCGGCATAGATCCAGTTTGCGGGACTGGCTGTTTCTACTACCTGCATGTCCCGGCTTGGTTGACCTTCAGTCCGACCTTCAACCTGAAAGTCTTTTTGAAAAGCAGTTACCAAGAAACAAACTACCTGACTACCAACGACCTATCAACAAATTGACCACCAACTGCAAACAGTAACAACAAGTTGAGTACTCCCCCACGGACCAATAGCTCAACCTGCTTGGGGGCAATTCCTTCTATCAGGGGGTCTGCCTTTCTTTGGGGGTCGCGAAAGAGGCCAATTGTCGCCTCTAGTTTTTTCCTACACCATAAAGTTAGACCACGGATCCAAAAGTGGCATACCCTAGGTTCCTTGTCCCCATTAGAAGAATGGTCCCAAGGGTTTCTGGTCACTCTGTTCGGGTTTGGCTGTTCCTTTTCCCAAAAACATAGGCAATCGCAAGCCTGAAGCAGAAACCGCCCAGGAGTGGGTCCCCTAAATTTCAGCATGTTGAGACCCGTATTTCGGATTCTTTGTGATTGTTTGTTGGGCTTGGCTTTTCAACTGCCCTGCTCAAAGGATTTGCACTGAGCTTGCACATCCCAGCAGGCTGTCAGGCACTGCTTCCTTCAAACGAGCCTTTACAGGGTGCTACCCTCCCCTCCACTATCATGGCCCGCCCCAAGAGGAAATTGATCTTGCAAGTACCCTTGGACAAGTGCCATGTTAGTGGGAGGGAGGTAAGTAACCCAGACTTGCCAATGCCCTTTCAATGAAGTGCCACGACACTCGCCCCCTGCACCGCGCTGCTGTTTCCTTCCCTGGCTGCCCGGTTTGTCACATGGGTGTGGCTCATGTTTGTTTTTTGTTTCCCCCAGCTGGGGGCTGGGGCAAACCGAAGGTTTTTGTCTTTGTTCCCATATACCAAGGTGCCATGTGGTGTATTGCATTTTGGGAGCCACAGCCACACGGAGTTCATTGAATTTGTCGCGCGCCCGTCTCAGGAACATGCTGGACCTTTTCGGCCCGGTCTCCCAGGGGCGGGCACGCGACTCACGACTTCTTGCAGCGCAGCTGAGAGATCTGAACGCGGGAATGGGTCCAGTTGATAGTGCGAACCCCACATTCGACCAATGGTTGGCCAATCATGAAAGACAATCTGAAAAAGGGAGCAGTATAGAGGTGGGGCCAAGGAAAAGAGTATTCGCCCCGGATCGATCAACCCTGATTGATAATGGTTGGCAAATTGGGGTGCCCTCTTAGCGAGGCACACAGGTCCACCGGGCGCCCAAGAAACTGGATCCCCGTTTTTTGCGAGTCTCCGGTGGCATGAAATCGTATGTCTCCCAAAGTGAGGGACGAAAAACCGTATGAGCCACAATGACTCATCGTGTTCCCAGCTGACATGGAATAAATTCCCATAACCCACCCTAGGGGTTTGTTTCCCATTTTGAGCCCCCCATTGCGGGATCCGAAGGCGCTCCAAACTCCACTAATTTAGGGGCTCGGCGCCTTTCTTTTGGACCCCCCTCGTTTGACATGATCTCCAGGTATTGATGTTCCAGCATGGTTGCCAAAATCGCAACATACCGCACAGCAGGGTCACAACAGGTAGAGATGGGGACTAGGCCCGAAAAGAGCCCCCTTAAAGTCCCGCGGTTGCTTTTCGTTTGGTTCGGGGCTTTTTGCTTCTCGGTGCCCCCTGTTGACACAGGTCTCCCGCGCCGGAGCGGAACCCCGACCGCGCGAGCGCCAGGCCGGCCCGCGCGGTCCTTCTGCATGGAGCTGGCGCGCTTCGCCAGCAACGCGGAGGGCCAGGCGCGCGCGCGGAAGTCCGCGCGCGCACGGAGGGCGAGAGGGATAAGAGTCTAGGTCCCCAGTAGTGCCCTTTCACCTTTTCTTGGGGGAGGGTTTTCCTACTAAAGCAGACTACAGCAAAAAGGATTCCCTTATTCTAACCTCTCTACTGGAGGACCAAGGAGTGGCTGTGAAGTGATGGGCCAAATTTCTCAAAAGCGCGCGGGTGGGGATGGATGAAAAGCCCTATTGGCTTAAATCGGCCACTGGCGACATGGTGCAAATGTAAAGTGAGTTTCCTTTGATGTAAGGGGACCTTTTCGGAAGCACATTGGTCATGGAGCTCTTCCATGACACAATGTGGGCCAAGGGTGTCCTTTTGGTTGAAAATGGATGGATTTCCTTGGTAGATTCTGAAACAAACTGGTCAACCAGCCATCCATGTTCATCCAAAACAAGCAAAAAGGACACCGATGTTCTGGGATATGATAGTGTAAACCCAAAGGTAAAGGAACTAGCCCGAGGCCACACATGACTAAGGGAGAAGCGAAACCCGAAGTATCAACAAGAACCTACGCAAAACAGTGGTAAGGAAACACAAGAAAGCCCGCCTCCATAGCGTGCGGTGTGAATTTGGCCCCCCCGAAATCCTGGATTGTGATCGTTTTGGGTTTGGGCCGGTTTGGTGGCTGGCAAAGTGTTTGGACCAATTCGGGCTAATTGATTGTGCGAAATTGGGGGGGGGGGGAAGGTTTCCATTTTGGGGTGGGGCTGAGCCTTTGGAGGTCCCCAACCTTTTGGCTGAGGGGAACACCGCGGTTTCACCAATTGCAAAACATGCAGAACAACTGGGGCGTAATGGTTGAACCCGCTGAGAAAAGGGTGGACATTTTGCTCCCACAAGTTCTGATGTCCACCGAAGGGTCCAACCACTCAAATTTCACAGCCTCTTTGCACCCTCAAGCCGTGGCTTAAACCTTGGTCTCACATTCTTTTCTTTGGGTTCCCCTTCATCGGGGCTTTCAGGTTCAGATCTGACGGGTCTGAACAACATGTATACATATACATATATATATATACAAACCACTCCAATTGAGGGGAGATGTTTTTTTTGGTCAAAATCGCATCCATCGGTTGGGTCAACGCCCCACTGGCCGCGGCTTCGCCTCCTTGGCGAAGCGCCAGGCCCTTCGGGAGCTCAGCCACGCCGTGGACCCGGACGCCTTCCCGGCCAAGAAGGACGAGTGGGCGGCCCCTAGGACCCGATGAGACCGGCCCGAATAGCTCACCAACGTACTGCGAATGAACGGCTTTACGGTTGTTGCCATATTTGAGGTGTCTTATTGTTTTTTTTGTTTTGTTTTTTTTTTTTATAGGCAGGGGGGGCAAGAAAAGAGGTAGTCTTTTGCTGCTATACCAATGGCTGGAAAGATGGATCAAACTCCTGCACCAGTCAGGATGAATGGAACCCTGGAAATCATGGTTGATAGATCACCTATCAACTGTAGTTGTAGGTGTCCTTTTGATAGCTTGGTTTGGCTAGAAATTTGGTTTTATTGGTGTAGATCTGTTTTATGCCATTCATTTACCAGGACCATCTATTGTACCAAAAGGTCGTCCCTGCTCACCAAGAGCCCTGGGGCAACTCACGAAGGTAGAGCATTTGGGGCGCACGGCAGCAAATGTTCGCTGATTAGGTTGGAGAAGTTACTTACTTGAGCGTGTCTGTTTTTTGAGGACACCTTTTTCTGGTTTTACAGGAAAGCCAAAAGCGAAGCCAAAACCATTTGGGGGTCCAAGTCCTAAGTAAAGAAAAGCCGCCTATTGCTCAGTTCGGCGAAATACTTTTTAGACGAGCGTTTTGAGTTTAATCTATATGGCATATCCGGCAAATCCGGTAAGCTTGTGGCAACTCATCAACACACTGAGACGAGCGAGCCAAATTGCGGGATGAGCACGGCGTTGTTGTTGGCATTTTGCTAGTTTTGTTGGTTCTGTTCATTTTTTGGCAGGGGGCTGCATTTTGTTGTTGTTTTGTTCTGTTCACTTTTAATAGGGGGCCGCAAAAGCAACGGTTTTTTGCAAGCCCATACCAATTAGAAAGACCACTGAGAGATTAAAACCAAGTGATTAATGCCACCAGTGAGTTGAGCAAGGGATGCACACCAAATTGGGTCATGATAAGAGAAACGAATGCGCTGTGTGTGACCATTTAGGGTTTCTTTATAAGAGAACACGTATACCAGGATAATCCCCCTAAACGATTGATTCCCCAATAAAGGGAGAGGCGGCCTGAAAACAAGCGGTCCTCCGGAATCATCCAAAGTTGACATTACGGCTAAACATCACACTTTGGAGATAGATTGAACTTGCCTTGGGTTTCCCCGTACACGAATTTGCTGTGGGGTGCACTGGGTCCAACCACCCCTGCAGATGCTGTTCGGGGTGACGGTGCGGGCGCATTGTTGTGAGATTGACGGAAGGGTGCAAGGGGGGGTGCTGTTTGGGGGCGCTCTTCGCGGCGTGCTGTTGGAGGTGCGGTGTACGAACGTTGGCGTGTTTTTCGCTATCCGGGGTCTATGCTGTTTTGTTTTTGTTTTTTTGAGGGGGGGGGGACCACTTGTTGGTTGGTTGTAAAGGGAAACCACAAGGAAAACCGAAGCCATTTTGGGGTTTCGATGCCACAAAAAGAGACACCCATTGCAGTGGGAGCATTCAAAGTTTGGTTGGACACCAAAAAGGGCTCCAGACCCAAAAGGATATTCCTCTAAACGTGTGGGTCTGTGAGGTTCCTTGGAAATGTGCAGGGGAGCTCTCTTGTGTGCGGGCCGGATAGGCAGAGAATGAGTTGGAATGTCCCCGAACTGAACCATCTAGCCGCTCTAAGCAGGGAAAGGGACCTCCATTGGAAGGGTGGAATTACCTTTTTGAGGGCCCAAGATGCAAAAAGGCTGGTGGTGTCTTTTCTGTTGTTGGCATGTTGTTTGTTTTGTTGTTCATTTTAGTGGGGGGCTGCAAAACATGTTTTTCGCCATACCAAGGGTGGTGGCAGCGGTTCATTCCCAAAACCCCGCTACCTTTCGCGAGTCGGCTCGCTGGCGGATTGAGGCGCTCACGGAGCAATGCCCCAGCTACTTCGACCTCATGAAGCGGGGCACTCAGCACAAAAGAAGCCTTCGTGGAAGGTCCTGGGCGGTTGAATTGGGGCATGGGCTTAGGTTGGTTAAATTTGCGGGTGGGATTAGGTTGAATTGAATTTCGGGATGGGTTTGTGAAAACATAGACGCCCTTAGATTAGTTTGGTTAGGAATAGATGGACACCCCACTGGTTGCTAGATTGGTTTTATGCCATTTTTCCAGGCAAACCCATCGATTTCTAGTCAGAAGGTCATCATTCTGTTGAGGAAGATGTTGTGAAAACCCTTTGGTCCCGTTTTTAAGTTGCCGATATGATAAGTATATTTTTTAGTTTGAGGCAGTCCTTTGTGGTTTCCCTTTGAACCCGCCCCCCAAACAACTGGCCTGCACCTTCCTTGCATTTCACCCCAGACCTTCCTTCAACCTTTTTCCTGGCTTGCACCAGACCACCCGGAACCTCCGAAACCACACCAGACCAGCCCCGCAACCTCCTCAACCTTCCGTGAACCTTAAACGGAACCTCCGGAACCTTGCTCGAACCTGACGCCAAAGCTTCTCCGAGGCACCCCCAAACCTTGGGCTGAGACCCCTTAGCTTTCAGCTGGGGCAAAAAGAACCTTTACAGTCACAGGTACCTGGAGCTAAGGGACCTTGTGAAAGAGTCCATGTTCCAGTGACCCAAAATCTTTCGAGTTCCATCTTTGTTTTTGGGTGGGTAAATGATCAGGTAGCCCTTCATTGCATGGTTTGGGGATTTGAGCCCCTTGTCGCTTTCCTGAGTCTATTGGGGGCCACCCTCCTCCAGACCGCCAGTCCAAGCCATACCAAGCACATATAATGTCTTTGCAGAACACAGAGGTATATTTTATACATCCCACAAACCACCACAAATACGAAGCAACGCATCTCCGCATCCTCTCCAACTCCCAGCCCCTCCCGACTCCCCGCGAGCGAAGCGGCGCGAGCGGCGCCATCCGAGCGCGCCAGGAAGTTCCCCAGCGCCAAGATGCCCTTGGAGCAGCTGCTGTCCACGCTGCCGTTGCTCAAGCCCCGCACCCCGATTTTTGGATCGGATCCGATTTTCATCCGATTCCGAGCCGAGCGGCAGCGGAGCAGATGGGTGGGTGCGATCAAAGTCGCTGGGGTGTCTGAAAGTGTCTTAAAACTTGCTTCTGGGACCTAGTGGAGTCGAGGATGTCACAAATCTAGCTGGACCCGGATGTTTTGGGGAAAGAAACCCAGGCCTGCAGGGGCATGTCTTTATGTTTTAACTTGGATTTAAGGGGGAAACGCTGTTGTACTCGTCTCCCAAAAAGGGCGACCTGTTTTTCCCCCCATTTAGAGACACGAAACCAGGCCAAGCTTGCAACAGCAGATAAACAAACACTCTGTATATCAGCTTCACGGGTGCGCAAGCTGGGCCATATCAGCACAGGTTGGGCTACCAGATGCTACCAGAAGGTGGTTTCGTCCATGGTTGGCCAACTGTTTTGGGATGAGCTGCGATGGAAAAACATGTTGCCGAAACCCCAATGTTTGTCAAATGGGTTCGCCTTTGACAGGGCTCGAAAGATGCGGCAACAACGCCATTCAACACATCCCATGCACCAGGCCAAAAGGAAGCTGCCACGCGTAATTAAATTAATGTTCAGGTGGCTAATGCAATGTACTAATGCAAGATCCCCATGTTTAGTCATCCCGTTTACTTAAACACATAAAGGGAATTGCGCCATCTACAATCACCTTGTGTTTTTGCTTGCAAAGGTCTCGGTGCCTCCGCGTCCGTTTTCATCACGGCTCTCTTGGATCAAGCGGCTATAGTAGGGTTGGGCAAGATTTGTTCAACCAGATCCTGGCCCTTCAAGGATCTTCAAAAGCGAACCACAACTTGTAGAGGGATGAATGACATATTCCGCGCATTTTTTTTTGCAAGGGATCAATGCAGCACGAAGAAAAGGAGGTGGTTTAAACAATAGGTCCTTGACATGTTCCGACCGGGTTTGGCCGTACCTGCCACCGAGGTATCTATTCCATCGCCTCAGATGCACGATACAGCGACTGGGCAGAAGGGTTCTCTCGAAGGGACAGAACAACTGTTGTGCAAAATAACAAGTTTCTGTGATGCTCCCTCAAAAAACCCTTTAAAGTGACAAACTGGCAAAGCGACACGGTAGTCATGTGGATGGAGCACTTGCGGAGTGGGTCCCAGTTGCCAGTATACTAGTCCGCCATTTTCCATTTGGTTTTTGAAGGCCAAGTAAATAGATCCACTTGGAAGCACAAGAAATTGCAAGATTAACCCCTAAATCAACCACATGTAATCTGTGTCTTGGTCCGGTTCGGAAATCCCTCAGCTTCTATCCAGAAAAAGTCGCACGTAGCCTTCTAAAAAAGCCCAGTCTATAGCTTCACTGTTGTTGGATGATGTGTTTAGTTTTATTTGTTTGTGATTCTCTTCAGTTTTAGAAGGGGGGCTGCAAAGAAAGAAAGTCGTTTTTTGGTTTCTGTTTTTTGGTTCTGCTCATTTTTAGTAGGTTGCAAAACATATTCATGGTTTCTTCAAGCCCATACCTATCAAGGGTTGGACAGACAGTCAATTTTGGAGGGACATGGGGGGTGTATAAGCCAGGGTGACTCTCCAATTGCCCCCTGACCAGGGCCAAGTCAGCTGTCCTTTTTGAGGAGCCATGAACATTGACTGAGACTCCAAGATTGCGCCACTTACAGCCACCAAGGCGTGGAGCAGGCACATCCCTGGACAAAAACCTTCTCGCAGGCAGTACGTGTTTTTTTTGTTTGATGTGCATTGCTTGTAGGGTGTCATTTTTATCCCAAATACTGGGACACAAAAACACACACACTTTTCTCTATGAACACCTGGTGTATGCCACAGATTTATCCCAAAGAATTGCCGTGGATCTTCTTTCCACACAAAAGAATCATTGTGAGGGTAAAGAGTTGAAGCACCACCGCAGGAACCAAAAATAGCGCAAACGAGAAGGATAGAAAAACCATACGGAACACGGTACTGAGCCAACGCGAAGCAATATGGGTGTATTTTTTTTGGATTCGGACCCCACAAATGGTGGCTTTCCTCTTAGTTTCCCTTCAAAACCACACAAAAGGGGCATATACCTTCAACAAAACGACAGACCCATATTCAGCCATACGCAAGTTATTTTTCAGCGAAGGCAGCATCACTACTGAGCAATGACGGGCCGATGCTTAGAACATATTCATCGAATACAAAGCGCATTCTTAGCAGAATCCGGACCGTACATGTTCAACGCAAAGCAATAACCAAACCAATACCAGTAAGAATCCAACTAGCACCGAACAGAAAGCAGGCCTGCAGCCATACTGAACCAATTCGAAGCCAACGGCAAACGGTACTGACTGCAGACGACTTGGGGCCCGATTCTGACTCCAACTCATGGCTTTGTTTTGCTCTATTGACCACTATTGTGTGTGTGTGTGTGTTGCTTGTTTATTTCTGCCAATTCGTTCGGTGGGGACCTTGCCAACCTCGCACGTTGCTAACCGGCTCTTGGTCCAAATGGACTGCAGCAGCCTCGCTTCCAAATAGGCGGATACCTTGTCCTTGTCGTAGTGTCGTTAGGTGTTTGAGGTCAGTTCTGAAAGACGTGTGCTGTTTTTTTGGTTTCAAGGGACGCCAAAATCAAACGGATCCGTTTTAGGGGTCCGAACCCAGAGCACACCTGGTGGTCTTTGAGACTCAGTCCGCTCGCGGACACCAACAGATCAATAGTCGAACCAAACTGAACTCGTGCAATCTATTTGTCCGCATGGGCGCGCATGGGGACACGTTCGTCGGAGAATGGGTTCGAAGCAACCATAAAACACGGTGGTTAACACTCACCGCATTTGTTTCCCAAAAGGACACCCGGGCTCCTCGATGTGTTTGTTCCTTCCGCAAGCACTGGGCTTGTCCAGAGAGACACATGGTGTGGCTCAAAATTACGGAGCTACGCAGGTTGCAGTCTTCCATTTACCAAGCTCTCATTTTGTTTTGGTACATCTTTTCGAGCCACAGCCAGAGTCGGCGCTTGCTGGCTTCCATTTGCTTAATAATCTGTGTGATTTTCCCTTGTTGGTTTCAAAATGAAGTTATCACTGGACATATGTTCTCATTTTTTTTTCCGGGGGTCTGAGCCACCTGGCGCTTGCTGGGGAGAAGCCGGAAGCTGCCGAGGCCCAAAGGCTGTGGAGTTCACCATCGTCATCAACCAGTGGAAGGCCAAGGCAGGCGGCGAGGTGAAGACAGGCGCGCCGGCCACTCGGTGTCGCTGGCGAGCGGGGCGGCTCCGTCTGAAAGGACGCGCCCAAGAAAAGGGTGCCAAAAACGGGTGAACTGTTGCTACCGTGGTAAAGGTTTATGTGGGTCTGTCTCTTTTGAATTGGAACCCCCTCCTATCTTCTTGGTTCCGAGCCGTCTTTAGAAAGGTGTTGAAGAGTGATGTGGATGAGGAAGTGTGTGGCCATTGTAGCAGTGAAGGGTTGAAAGGTTGAATAATTAAGGGGTAGGTTTTTAGTTGCTTTTAGTTGGTTTAATGGGGGGCGAGCTGAGTTTTGGTGGTTTTTAACGGAAACCAAAACGAATACCGTTGCGCCATTTTGGGCCGAGTGATCCGATTCGCTCCTGGGACTGTGTATGGCGGAAGAGCCACCTTTGCTTTGGGGATGAGGTCTAACCCTTGCACTCATCTGCTTCCGCTCCTTGCCCCAATTCCCACGTGATAATGTGAATCCAGGCATTGGGGATAAAGGGAACGGGCACTATCATCACCTCTTCCTGGTCGTTGTACGGCGGGAGATGGTAGAGAGAAGATGGGAGCGAGATGATAAAATGGATGGGGTGATGAATCTCTCAGAAAGTGATGGCAATTGAAGGTAGAGCACAACTCATCCATCCATTTTCCCCATTCATCTCCTCCATGCCTTTCTCTCGCCGGAGAGGGACGTGTGATTTCATGCAACCCTGCAGTCCCCAGTCCTCTCACCCCCCTAGGGCCTTGGCAAGCCGGTATAAGTCTTACGGCTTAGGTTTTATGGCTATTCGGTTTCATCTTTGGACTTTCAGTTTTTGGGACACAGTGGATTTTCCATTGGACCCACAAAAGGTGACACTTTTTGCAGAGGGGTCAACAGCAACCAAGTAGGGGCGTAACTGAAGCATGGCCTATTGAGAACTGGGGGCATGGTCTAGGGTCGAATGCGTGGCTGCTAAAACCCGAAGTGACATTTGCCGGGTTGTGAGATGACGAGGAGCGTTTTGGTTGTGTTCTCCATGGTTTGACAGTCACTGCAGAGACTCACTATTGAAGGATACGTCTATGCTCGGTCTGGACTTCACTTGCTGGAGAAGACAGATCATGAGGATGAAGGAGCGCTCACACAATTAGATATAAGGATAGTAAGATACACTTACTGTAAAAACGGTACGGATACAGAAAGAGTTGCGATTCAGATCTGACTGCCAGCTGCTGAAACAGAGGATAGTAATCAAGATTGGCAACAAGAGAACCAGAACAATATCCACATAGCCACACAAGAACCATCACTGACAATATATATCATGACATGCAAGTGTTCCACATGTCCTACCTATGAATTCCAAGTGACAACAACATAACATTTTATTGTTGATGCATGCAGTGAACAAGATCACCACATATGAACATACGTCTAGATGCTCACAGATCGAAGTCTATTGACTGAAGACGATGATGCGATGATGATTATGAACAAATCACCTGCAGTAGACGAACAATTCAACAGCTAGCACCCTAACAGCTGAGCTGATGAGGACAAGTTACCCGATATGCAAGCTATGACTAAAGAAATAACTTGACGTTGCCAGACTCAATTCACTTCTTTGCTCTTTTGGCGTTCCTTTATTTTCTCTTTGAGCCAGCAAAAGCTACTGTAACTTGTTGCAGGAGGTCTACGTCTGGCACAGTTGATAGGAAAGGAATCGGCAACTGAATTCGGCCTTCTTGGTCAATTGGTCCTAAAAGGCCTATATCAGGTCCTTCAAGCAATCCCCAGCAAAATGATGTCTACATAAGGAACGCTTCACAGTTGTTGGCATGTGTTGCTTTCTTTGGTTTTCTGGTTCTCGTCATTTTTGGTAGGGGGCTACATTTTTTTGCTACCACACCAACGGTTGGAACGAAATCATTCATTAGAAATTCAATCCCCTCCGCCCCGCCGTTTCTTTTCGTGCTTTTCGCGACGGAGGCCGTTCCAATCCAGACTTCCATTTGCTTGTGCCATTTTCCCTTGCTGGCTTTAAATGGAATCTATCACTACTGGACATGTTGTCATGTTTTCCGGGGGGGGGGGGGAAACGCAAATGGATTCCTGAGAGGCACCTGCACCAAGTTCATCCAGCACGCGGCAGTGGGAAAGCAGGCCCAAGGGTCGAAGGAAGAGTTTTTCCCGAATCGGATCGGCGCAACCCCCAGGGTTCTGGACGAAAGCTCATCACTTTGTGGGGTTGGGTTTTGAGTTTGGGTTTTGGGTGTATCATCACTTTGTGGGTTTGTGTCATCTACTTTATGGGTATCATCGCGGCCACTGCTTTGGGGGTAATGCTCAGGTGAGCGGCAATCAACACTTGGGTAGATGAAGGTTTGTGAGGGATACTCAAACCAGAAATGGGTGCAGCCGCCTTAGTAACTCTTTGCAGAATTTGGGTTCACCATTTTGGTACCAGGTTTTGACAATGACTCAGGTGGATATGTGAAACCCTGGAGAATGGAAGAGGAAACTTCGCATTTGGAAAGGGAGCAGCTGTGAACTACGTAGTGCATGTGCGTTTGCTTGCTGCTCAGCAGGGAATGAGAATTGGAATGACCTTTACAAAACATCCCTTGTGGGTTCCTTTAAGGGAATCGCTGGGTTCATTCCCACATTCCCTGCCTATCGCACCAGCAAGTTTGTACTTTTCTGTGGCCGCCTTTTGCCTTCTTGTGCAGACAGTGGAATCAAACATCTCGGCCTAGTGCTCAGACTCATGGCCGAGAATTACCGAAACGACTTCCGTCTAGAGCCGTAGGGCCAAACAGGCGTCCAAATTAGGTCCGCGATCAGTACCCGGGCTCCCCAAGTGTTGCCACAGCCAAATGAGCTGCTAATTGAGTTGCCGAACAGTCAAGTAATTTGAGAAACGAGTCGCCGCACAAGTATCAGTTTCCACGGGTGTAGAACTCGTCCCCTCCGAAACAGCGGATCAAGAAACCAAGTGGATTCATGGGAGGTGGGAGGTGCCTTTCCACCCAAAGTTGAGGATTCCCTCCAGAAGGCAATGGCCCTTGTCAACGGAAAGAAATGCTGGGATCGCATTGAACAGCACTTGGCGCCAGCGGAGTCAACCAAAGACCTATGGCAAAGAATCAAAAGGTTCTTGCCCCACATATGTATGACATGGGGACTGTCCTGTCCTCCACTGACCCTCTACCCAGATTTGATATGGGTCACCTGAAACCGGCAGCCGCAGGTTTGGTCTGAGAAAAGCTTATTGGGGCCTAGTATAGAGTATATGGGTCCTGTTTTTCAGGGGACCCCCAAAATGGTTGCTTTCCTTTTGGCTTCCTTTTAAACCACCAAAAGAGGGGCCAATGTACAGGCCCGCTGTTCGGGCCTGTCGCGCCACGAAGCCCGTTGGGCCCGTCAAGACCGACAAGAGATAAGGCTCTTTGGTGTCATGACATGGCATCTAAAGGTCACCCCGCCCCCTCCCCCACCCCAACACAATACAACAATGAAACCAATTTTGTCAGTGGCTTTCGAAGCATGTCGAAGCAGTCGATTTTGCCACCAGGCTGCTGTTGGCTGGCAACCCACACCGAGCAAGGTCCATTCAAGCCTAGTAGAAATTGTCTCGAGCTGCGCAAACTCCCACCAGCTGCCAAAACTCGGAGTCCAAATCCCGCCGCCACAGCCGTTTGCCAAAACCCGGAGTCCAAATCCCACAGCACGGCCCAATGAACGCTCCCATCGCGGAAGCATGCTAAGCCTGCTAAGCAGACAAAACGAGAACCCATCGCGTCAGAGATGCTTTTGGGAAAAAGGCGCTTTAAGAGACGCTTTCTTAACGGGAGCTCTGGTTATGCTAGCGACAAGCAGGTTCAATCCTGACAGAAGCCACGGACCCGCGTGCAGATTACTTGCCCAAAGCTATCCTTGCGCGAGTGTGTCCCTGATAAGGTCCCTGATCCATTTACCTGCCCTGGTGGCCCTATTCATTTTTCTATCTGTCCATCCGCCTGCCTATTCATCAATGTCTCTCTTTGCATATACCAACCTTGTTGTCTTTGTTTAATCCAAACTGATCTGACCTAGATCTGACTATCTTTGTCATGTAGTCCGATCGGTCTTCCTATGTATCTCTCTATGTGTGTATCCGTGTATCTACCTATCCGTCGACCATCGATCGATCGATCCATCCATCTACCTATCTATGTATCTACCTCTCCTATCTGTCTGGATCCATCTAATTATCCATCATTGATATATTTGTCTATCGTTCTATCTATCTATCGATCTATCGATCTATCTATCTATCTATCAATCTATCTATCTATGTGTCTATCAATCTATCTATCTATGTGTCTATCTATCTATCTATCTATCTATCTATCTATCTATCTATCTATCTATCTATCTATCTGTCTATCTAATCGAATCTATCTATCTATCTATCTAATCTATCTATCTATCTATCTATCTATCTATCTATCTCTATCTATCTATCCATCTATCTATCTATCTATCTATCTATCTATATATCTATCTATCTATCTCTATCTATCTCTATCTATCTATCTATCTATCTATCTATATCTATCTATCTATCTATCTAATCTATCTAATCTATCTATCTATCTATCTATCTATCTATCTATCTATCTATCTATCTATCTATCTATCTATCTATCTATCTATCTATCTATCTATCTATCTATCTATCTATCTATCTATCTATCTATCTATCTCTATCTATCTAATCTATCTATCTATCTATCTGTCTATCTATGTATCTATGGATCTATCGATCTATCTATCTATCTATCTACCTGTTTGTCTATCTGTCTGTGCCTCTACGTATCGATTTATATATCTATCTATATATCTATCTATCTATCTATCTATCTGTCTATCTATCTGTTTGTTATCTATCTATCTATCTATCTAGCTATCTAGCTATCTATGTATCTATCTATCCATCTATCTATCTATCCATCCACCTATCTATCTAGCTATCCATCCATCTATCTATCTACCTATCTATCTATCTATCCATCTTTTTCGATCTATCTTTCCGCTAAAGCCCGTCCAGCACGTGGACCCCGTTAACACGCTGGGTTGAGCTTGTCACACTCGCAAGGCCCGTCGGGCCCGTCAAACGTAAACGTGAGGCCCGAAGCCCGTCAAGCGCGAGAAGCCATTGGGCCTGTCAGGCCCGTCGCCCCCAATGAACGGTGAGCGGTTGCTTCTCCAAAAAGGGGGCGCCCTGGAAAAGGATACGCCCATATAGACATCCTGGAGTACAAACTGATGCATCTTGCCACACGTCAATCCGTTGCTCCCTCCCTCTCCTAGCGTCCCAACGGGCTCCCAGCCGAGCGTGCGGGAGTGCCCATATTTGCCGTCTCCAGCCCTTTGGGCTTTGGCAAAACGTTGCCTTCTAAATACATCAGCAAGAGGGCTCTTCTCGCTAGGCAGAGTGTCAGTCAGGTGTCAGATTGATTTGCGTGATGGGCGACCCCTTCTTTTCCGCCGCAGTCGCCTCCCGGCCGCCTTCCGACCGCACCCGAGCCGCAGTCGACCGATCAATAGGTGGCCTGCGCCGTGGTGTGCGGCACCTTCCAATTCCCCGAGAAGGACACAACGCCCATGGTCATGGTGGGCCTGGGCACTGGCATTGCGCCGTGGACGCGAGAGATGGGTGAGCGGATCCTATGATGTGGTGAGGGAGTTGTGCTTTTTGCGTTTGTGTTTCGTGTTGGTGTGCTTTGTTCTTTGCGGCTGTGTGTTTGTGATGTGCTTGTGTGTTCGCGTGTGTGTCTGTGTGTGTCTTTGTGTTTGTGTGTTTGCGTTTCCGTGTCTCTGTGTCTTTTTCTCTCTGTGTCTCAGTGCTTGTTTTTGTGTTTGCGTTGGTGTCTCTGTTTGTGTGTGTGTGTGCGCGTGTGTTTGTGAGTCTGGTTTTTTGAGGGTACCCTGTTTGCGTTTGGCTTTTAAAGGGAACAGATCCAGAATGAAAACCGGGGTCAAGGTAGTTTGACATAATATACAAATGTGAGTCACTGACAGAATGCCGCGTGGCCAGCATCACCCACGGGATTTCAAGTCATTGGAACCAATGCAACAGCCCTGGCAAGACCTCCATCTGCTCAAGACCATTGTTTATGTTTTCTCCTTATCACTACGGTTTGTCCCTGCGAGTGAAGAATGCAAATGGAATATATGTTGGAATATGCTAGAGTCAATCGTTTCTTCCGGGAGGACATAAACTGAGGCCCAGGCCAGTTTTCCATGTCCTCTTAGGGGAGTCGCAAGTCATTTGTCCTCAGCTATGCTGATTTTACCGGATTTGTCTCCAAGTGCAGTTGTGGTCTCTCTCTCTGTGTCTCTCTCTCTCTCTCTCTCTTGTTGTTTTTGTGTGGTGTTTTTGGTTGAAGGAAACGTCTCAGAACTCAGAACTATGGGATCTTCTTTGTCTTCACTGAAAGGGGTCACAAAACGGGGGAACAAAAAGCATATTTTTTGGACAATTCTGACATTGCTTAAATGCTCACAGTGCCAACCCTTTTGCAGTGGTCATTATACTTCCCTTTGTGGGTGGCTTTGAGCATCATCGGTTTGGCCGTTTGTGAGTGGACGCCGTTTGGGCAGGGGTAAGGTTTAAAGTTGACAAATGTGAGCAGTCCTGTTTTGGGTTGAACGAAGAACCGTGCAGGCGCGTCATTATTGTTCCCCCGCTGACTTGACGGCACCGATGGCCTGTCTGCTGCTCACGATATCCGGTAGTCCACTGTTGTTTGGGGAGGACATGGGGCATCCAATTCCTATGTGCTCTTGGGGAGGCAAGTCTTGCTGCCTGGTTTTGGTTCATCCCGACCCCCTAGAACTTTTGGAGATCTCCATTTGAATGTTCCATTTCCCCGGCGGGACTAGACAAATGGAGTTGGGGAGGGGCTCGAACAGACCTCATGCCTGAGGCACCCATCCGCTCCTTTATGCAGGACCGGGTGCTTGCATCGTCCCCTTGCCAAACTTAAATGGAGCGTTTCTCAAGCTCCAGGCTAGTTTTGCTTTGGCGGGTGTTCCGCCTATCCCGAACTGATGGACAAGATCTCGCACCTGCTGGTAGGTCTCACTTGCCCAAAGCCGACCTTTGAACCTTTTGATTTCCCTGATTTGGTCCATATCTAGTCAAAGCTGAAAAGGTTAGCTTGTGTTTCCGGGTCCGTTGGGCAAGCGTGAGCTAGCTTATCCCATTATTATAGGGCTTCATCCATCCCAAGTGGTGCAGGATTTCATCCATCCGATCCCTCCAAATGCATCCTTCAAATTGGTACACAACTTTGGAAAGACCTGGAAGACTACTGCAAAGAGGGCGAAGCTGCTGAAACCTTTGTGCTCCTATCCTGGCGGAGACCAGACAGTACTCTGAGTGGGTTCTGGCGAGTGCAAATGTCTTTGGCTTCCAAAAGGAAAGAATGGTCCAAACACAAGCAAAAGCTGGAACCCTTCAAAGGAAAAGGGGTGGAAAAGTGGTTTAGTCCGGGGTCCTTATCTAGGTCCCTCAGTAGTGCCCTTGTACCATTTTTGGGGGGAGGGTTCCCCTACTACCGAAGACAGGGCACCCTTATTCTAACCTCTTATTCTAATGTCTCTACTGGAGGACCTAGTTATATTCCAGTGTTTGGTTGAAGCGCCACTTTGTGGTTGCCAAGTGAGGAGCTTGCTTTTGGGGTGGTGTTACGGGGGCAAATCTATGGAACCTTCCCATGTTAGAATGAGTAAACTCACTTGCCCATAGCCGACCTTTGGTGTTCTTAGCCTAGTATGGTTTCCACTACCCCCAACATATTGCCCCAAGGGACAAATGCAGGATATTTGTGAGGGTGCGTCATTTTTGGAGGGGACCCTTTTTTCGGGGTGGTTTAAGTGGAAACCAAAAGGCAACCCCACGTTCTTGGAGTTCCTTCTTGAGAGACAAATTCACATACCCTTTACGTAGCGGCTATAGTGGTTGTATCATCAAACCCTTGAGGGTAGTGGTTTGGGGGTAGGGGGGTGGTGGGGGGTGGGGGGGCTAAGGGTTTCTCCCCAAGGAAGGTTTGCTGGGAATGGTTGGAAGTTCCGTCCTCTCCCAGTCCTCGGTTATTCGGCGCGTTGCCTTCAGCGCCCGAAGGGATTGTCTTTTTGCCACATCCAGTAGCCGCTGTTGTATGCATGTCCCCTGGTTTCGTGTAGGTTTTAAGAGGAACATGACGCCTTTTCCTCAGCAAGAGTCGGGTTTCTCGCGATTTCTTTATCAGTGCCCAGCTTGAGGAGTCTTCCCCTGGGACGTGGGTTTGTCCCCCAAATGGGGCAACTTCAAATGGTTGGTTTCTCTTCACTTCCCTTTACAACCAAAAGGGGTTCCCCCAACCGAAAAAGACATCTTTAAATGTGGGCACCCCCAAAATAGTTGGTTTCCCTTCGGCGTCCCTTCATGCCATCACCTTTTCAATATCCTGAAATGCACAAGGATCTCCGCTGGATCATAGGTTAGGTAGACTAATGATGGGTCTGTTTTTTGAGGGGACCCCGTTTTGGCCTGTTTTAAAGGGAAACCAAGAGGACAATTGTTAAGCCATTTTGGAGGCGTCCGAGTCCTGCAAAAAACACACCCAGAATGACAAGGGGTACCGCCAGTAGAAAAGCGCGCACAGCTTTCGATTAAACAATCGCAGGACAAGCTGTACAAGAAGCAGCAGGGCATCGCCACTGGTCCTATGGTAGTCTTCTACGGCTGCCGACATGAGGAGGACAACGGGCTCGACGGGACGATGGGGGTACCCCCCTCAAAACAGGCAAGCCTCCTATATATGGGTTTGTCTCAAGATGAAGGGACCCTCAAATGCGTTGGTGTGCCTTTAAGGTCAGCCAGCAGGGGGTTCCCAACAGGAGACACCCAGCAATTGTTGGGTGGGTGGGTGTTTTTGGGGTTGGTTTACAGGGAACCCCCACGAAAGCCCTTACTTTTTTCGAAGCTTCGGTTCTTTCGGGGCAGCTCGGTGGCCTCAAAGAACCTCGTGAATACCCTCAACCAACCCTCTTCCATGTTGTTTGGACGTGGTTGGGGGGTCGCTACATTTTTCCCCTTTTGCATTTGCAGGCATCGCCTTTTAAGCGAATTGACTGTTGAAAGAACTAAAGAACCCTGCGAGGGGGTTCAGGCTTCCGGATGAAAACTGCGTGGGGATTTAGGTGTCCACGAAAACCGAACCTTGTGTGTCCTTCATTTATGGAGCCAGGAAAAGTGCTTTGGCTGCTGGCTGCTTTTCAGGCGAGGGTTTAGTTCCGCTGTTTTCGGGCTAGTTTCCTTCCGAATGCAGCGCAACTCCCCCCCAAGTTTGCCACTCAGCGACTCAGGAGGAGCTTTTGTACAAGGACGAGTGGAAGACACTCGGCAGAGACTGGCGGCTGATTTGTTTGCCTGTGCCAAGCGGGCATGTTTCAGGATGAAAAGGAGTTTAGCAAACTCTGAATTGAATGGGGAAATTGGCAACCATGATGACACCAGAGACAGGGCAGGTTCAAAGATTGGCAAGCTTTGCGAGCTAGAGTGCTGGAAAAGATAGGCGACTGAGGAACCATGGCCCTTGCCGCAGAAGGGATCTTAATATGTCCCCTCTGAGATTCGGTCAAGATATCAGTAGCAAAAAGTTAATTTGGGAGTGACAGGGGGGGGGGGCTGCTTTTTGTCTCCGCGAAATCCAGGAGACAAACCCTTGATTTGTCAATCTCCGCGATGGGAATTGCATGTTCTGATGGATTCAATTAGGTTGAACCCTTGGTTTGCAGCAACCGAGATCTGTATGGCTGAGAACTGTTTGACTGGGAACCGCCTGAACAGTGGTTGGTGAACATGTTCATCCCCAAAGAAAATGATGTCCACCAAAAAGCCCCCGATTACCGTATATGTCCTATTTCATGGAATCATCGTGGTATGGAATCACAGGAGACCTCACATGGTGCCATGATTGAAACAGACGGCCGCCAACTTCAAGCCAACCATGTCTTCAAATCAAAATAGCAATCAAGCAGGCAGGCAGTGAGCACGCCAGCAAGCAACCCAGCAAGCATGTAAGCAAACACGCAAGCACAAAGGCCCACACACTTACACAGACGCAAATGCGCAGGCAGTGAGGCAGGCACGCAGGCAGGCAGGCACGCAGGCACGCACGCACGAACGCAGCCAGGCGCAACCAACCAACTAACCAGCCGACCGACAGACTGACCGACCCGCTCACTGACCCAGCCGACTAACTGACTAACCGACCGACCGACCAACCAACCCAAACAATCAACCATCCAGCCAAGCAAAGCAAACAGCCAACCAAACGACCAAACAGTCGCCCAAACAACCAATACAAGCTAAGCACATTGCAATGAAACAAGCAAGCAAGTACACCAACAAGCAATGAACCACACAAACACACCACACACACACACAAATGACACACACGACACACACACACACACAGACACGAGTCACACAGACGACACACAGCCGACACACAGACAACACACACGCAAGCACCCAAAGCACACACACACACACACACGACGACACAACATAACACAACACGACACAACACAGCACACCACAACCGACATTCGTCAACATCACAAGGCAACGCAGCACACCTACACTTTGGGCGTCAGTTGCTTCTCGTTTCTGAGGATGTACGAGAAAGAGGGCGTGCTTACCAAACTGGTCGGAGCCTTCCAGCGCTGGCCTCGGTTTCGGGGTTCCGGGGCTCGCGTGAGGCAGGGGGGCATCTTCAATTTGTGTGTGGGTTTGTGGATACTCGTTTATTTGGTTGTTCCCAGCTATTTGCATTGTATATGAAGTTAATGATTTGTGTTTAACACATTTATATATCATTGGAATACGAAGATATTATGTTTAGGAGGACGTTTATTAGGGATCTGGGAACAGCCCAGTTTAGCTCCTTGTTTGACTACCGAGGGCTTCACAGGCTTGAGTCCCGCCCTTTGACGGCCAAAGCATTCAGTTCGCTTGGGGTATTCTTGGTCCGGAGAATTACAATAGGCTCGATCACAACAAGACGACTTTGGACAAGCATCGCTGCTGGCTCACGCCTTGCAGCAGGCTCCTTCCACGTGAGGCGCGAGCCCAGGATGAAGGTCCTTTACTGGGGGGGGGGGGGGTCGTATTTCCTGTTTGGGGAAGCACAGAGTTATGTTAGCCCAGCATATGTTTGTGCACGGGGTTTTGCGACATTCGAGTTGGGCATTTCGGGATTTCGCCATTGCTGTGCTGAACCTGCGAAAGGCCAGACGTCATGATGATGGATCTCGTTCCAGGAAAAGCACCAATGGCTTGGCCAATTGCCGGTCAACTGGTTTCTGATGATTCGCATGTAAATACCCACACCATGCCTTTAACCATGTTTTCAAAGTGGTGCGAAATTGACTTTGGCTGTCAACAGTATGGGACAATGTCCAGAGGTTCCAAAACGAGAGCCAGTCAAAACAAGCATGACGTCATGTTTGAATGCTTGGCCAGTTTGGCCTCAGCTATGACTTTGGTAAGTTACTCCCCACCCCCCAAACAAACAAAATCAAAGAGGAAACACGTCCCTGAAGTCTGAAGCAAGTCGGGGTGTGGAAAGGGGAAACTTGGTTCCTCTGAACGATCCAGGACCATCAAGCAACCACTAATGATTTAGGGTTGATCAATATTCCGTTTGGCCCCCAAATGACCACAAGTAGATACGAGTAGCTTTTCCCATTTAGGGAATGTCATCTTCTTGGTGGTTTTCCAACGAATGGTCATCCCATTTACAGGACCTTTTGATCCCTTTGACAGGAAACATATCTTCCTGTAGTAAAGGGGATGACCTGGGAAACCATTGAGAAATGGGGCGCTTACTCACCGATTTCCCGTGTAAGTTGGGGTCACAATGAGCATTGACTGCCCTCGTGCTCCAAATAGCTTCTTTTTTGTTTGGCATGTGTTGAAGAACCAGGGTTGTCCATGGCAAACACCTCCTTTCTTAGTCAAAGGTTGACATCATACCCCATCATACCCTGAAAAAGTGGGTGTAGTGGCCTGGTGTGGCTCACATGTTTGCCCTTGCCCGAGGTTTGACAAGCCGCACTACCCACCGAAGCAGATTTTTGTGTCGGACAAGATGGCCGAGCAACCCGAGCTCATCAGCGACAATTTGCTGGAGAAGGCGGTTTTAGGGCAGGTCTCTCGGACTGTTTTTATGCCCACCCCCTAAAAATGGAATTGGGGGAAGGGGGATTTCACCTTATGATAGTAGGGGGATTAACCGCCAAAGTGCACCACCCCAAAAGGACGCGCCCGAGACGCTTCGTTCAGGTAAAAAAGACAGGAGAAATCAATGAAACATGAATAGACATCGAGAACGTCAAGGAAACATCAAGGAAGATCGGGAAAACAGGCGTTGCACCACCCCAAGAAAATGCATAGGCAAGGCTGTTGGGCGCTGCTCAAACATCCAAGTCACTGGCTCCTTTTTTGTTTTTGTTTGCTTTCCCTTTGAACCCAAAAAGTGCTCCACCCCAAAAGACTTAGCCAAGTCACTTCAACTAGCTGGATCGGCTGCTGGAAGAAGGGAAAACAAGTCATTTCACTTGGCCCGATCCGCAAGCCAGCCCCGAAACATCAGGTACCCCCCGATTGGGAAGGTACAGGTCCAAAACCACCGGTCACCAAACCACCAATTCCGGGTAAGGTGGTTTGGATTCGTGGTGATGGTGAAATGAAGGAGTTTCCCGTTTAACCACAAGAACCAGGGGTTCAAATCCCAAACCACAACTCCATTAAGCAGGTCCAAACCACCAAACCACCAAAGCACGAATTTTGGAAGGGTGAAAACGGAGAGAAACTCGGAGACTTCCATTTGGTTAAGAATATTTTCTATTTTCCCCTGTTGGTTTTAAAGGGAATCTATCACTACCGGATTCTTTTTTCCAGGGGACTTAAGCAAATGGAGGGAGAAGCTTCGCAAAACCGAGAAGCCAGGGCGGGTACTTCTTCATGTGCGGGCCCGCAGTGGCCACGCCCAGCGTTCAGAAGGCGCTCAAGGCAGCCCTGGTGCAGAGAGGTGGACAGGGCGCACCTGGGCTGAGAGCTTTCGGTGTCGGCCGAGGTGCACGGATTTTGGAGGGTGTTTTTAAAGGGAAGCCAAAAGGAACCTACACATTTTGGGGCGTTTCTCCTACTTGAACACATACCCATAGTTCCTCTAGGTGTCTCTACATGCCCTGCATGTCATATACATATACGGTATACATATAATGTATATATATATATATATCGGAGACAAAGCCTGCCTGTTCCTGGCAAGTTGTTGTTTGTTTTGTTTGACAGCGTTCATTTTTAGTACGGGGCTGCAAGAGACATGTTTTTTGGCAACCATACCAAGGGTTGTGAAGAAGATACGTATACGCAGGAAGACTTCGGCTGCTTCGTTGAATCCCCTGGCTTACGGAAAGGTGGGGCCGGGGTGCGTTGGCTAAAGCCATGTGTGTGTACCGCCATGACTTCAGCTGCGCATTTGTGCAGCTCAAGAGTTGCAGTACCGCGTTCTCACGGGAAGTTTGACCTCTGAGTTCGAGAGTCTGCCGATCCTTTGGCCCGACAGAGAGGTTTTTGCATTTCAGGGGCGAATGCTTGAAATACTCAACCTTGCAGCATTGTGAAGGAGAAATCATGGCCCGTATACCGAATGCGGCATGAGGTTGCTAAGTTCTAGGCAGAGAGTCTTTCTCGGAAGAATTACCCTTTGGGCTTCATTCCCCCTGAATCCAGTGCCACTACTGATGCCGCCTTGGTTGGGATGCATCAAGTGACTATCAACAGCATCTATGGGGTTCTTCCAAATCGTGCTCCCTTCGGCTTTGTTGTTTGCATTTCCTTGTTGTTGTTGTTGTTGTTGTTGTTGTTGTTGTTGTTGTTGTTGTTGTTGTTGTTGTTGTTGTTGTTGTTGTTGTTGTTGTTGTTG